CCTCCCACCGCCCCCCCCCCGCCCAAAACAAGTTCCCCGCCCCTCAGCATCCTCCCACCGCCCCCCCCCCCCGGGGGGCGGTACTGCCCCCATTGAGAACCAATGATTTAAATGATCAAAGATTAGGATGACTGAGATACTTGGCAATCCTAGTTTAATTTAAAAAATACATGAAGTTGAAGATGTAGATGAATTAGTATTTGAGCAGATGTATTTTCAGATCCTAAAGGTTCTTGATTCTAGTCTTGTGAATAACTTTGTTCAGTATTAAAAACTGTTAAAGTTCTGGGTTTTTTTATACAGTATTTTTATTAAAAATTATAATTACAACAGTAAAAACTAATACAAACTCAAAAAAAGAAAAGCATAGAAGGAAAAGGTAGAAGGTGCAAAAAAAGGAAGGAAATTAGAGAAATAGAAAAGAAACAAAAAATAAGACTATAGCATGTGTATGTATGTATGTATGTATGTATACACACACACACACACATACATACACACACACAAAAAGAAATGACTTCTTCCTTCATCACAACAAATATAAACAATTTTAATAACTTATCACCTTCTCTTAAAATACAGCAAATCTCTTCTTCCCATATCCCATCTCTTATCTATAAACAAAACCATAAAGCCTCATAATTTCAGTCCTGATGTCAGCAAAAGTCCATTAAGGGTTACCAGAAATAACAACATATCTATTTTAACCTTGATCAAATAAATCATCTTTATATTCCTTCCTTTTACTTCTAACAATATTGATCTTTAGTCTTTTCAAATAATGTCCTAGAACTTAATTTCTTTTCATTTTTTCTTTGTCCCTTCTTAAAAAATTCAAGCCTCTTTTATAAATCCAATATAGGAAAATTATCCAGGTCACTCTTTTGGTTTGTTGTTTGTATATCCCTTTTAATTTTTAAGACATCAGCCAGTTTCTTTTGTATGTCCAGTGTAACTTCTTTTACCATGTCCTTCTTGTAGACTGTCATTTTTAAATCCACTTCCAAGTCAGTCTCAGTCTTGTCAGGGAGAACTCTCCTCCATAATATCTTTCAGACACAGTCTATTTATAGAGGTAGACACTATTAAAATTAACTTCTGGGCCCATTATTCAAAAATATCTTTCAGTATGTCCAATGTTAAAATATTTTGCTTCATTTTGTAATTATAAGTTGAGTTTGAGTGTTCTTCTCCTTTAATTGTAATCTTTAGTTTCCTCCAGTTCTCTTTAGTGTCCAATTTTTAAAGTCTTATCTTATGTTGTTGTTGTTTTTTAATTCAGAACAAAAGCATTTTCCCATGGGAAGGAGTCTTATAATTAATTCCAAAATCTTATTACAAATCCATCTGGACCTTGAGTCTGTTTGTAGCTTTCCAGAATCAAACTTCTAATCACCCTTTTATTCCAAAAGAAAAAAATATATTAAGTCCTTAAACTTGTATTTAAAACTTCTTTCACCAAGGATTGAAGGAAACTCACCCGGCGCTATGAAACACATGAATCCAAAGGTTTCTAATAGCTGAAAAGCAGTTAATCAGCAATTCTAAAAGTGATTAGAAAAGGAAGTGGGTGAACCCAGTGTCCTTTTGAGGGTGCCGACTGTAGTTTGAGCAAAAAGATGGCTATTCCTTCATCTCCCCGAGCTCTAAACCCTTTGGGAGACCACTGTCTTGTAGTCTCCTCATGAGGAGCAGCTGTCTGGAGCACTTGTGGGCAATCTCAAGTCCTCTCCTTGTCCAGAGAGGAATTATTGAAGAGCCGTTCTACTTGCCGGCTCTTTATTCTGCCATGGTTGACTGCTCTGTGAAGATCAGTCTGCCATTTGTTCCCCAGACATCCAAAAGTTCAGGGAAAGTTCTGTTTGAACCAGTTACTATAACAGACTGTGGTAAGAGTTATGATAAAATATAAACTCCCTGATGGCCCAATTATTTTTATTCTTTTGCCAATAAGTAGTTGGAAATAATATAACCAAAAAAATATTGTACTGAAAGTCAGATCAGGCAGTATTTGTAATGAATTTTGGGAAAGACCTTGGGAGATGGGGTGAAGAGATGAAGCCAAAGGAACGGTCAGATAAAAGACATTATAGTCTGCAGCTGGATAGTATGTGGGGCAAGAGGTTCAGAAGAGACCCTCCCTAGTTTCTCGGGCTGTAAAGGGGATGGGGGAGAGAACTGAACTTTCATACTTGGAAAATTCTGTCAATGTAGCTTTACAATAAAGTAGAATTAGCTCATCTGGTTGTGATTCTTATCTAGTTTACCCCATGAGGCCGACCGAATTTGAGAGGATAAGTAAAAAAAGTATTGGAATGAAATAGAAATTTGTTTTTACTTAGATGCAGATAGGTAAACAGGTAATCATTTTATTTATTTATTTATTACAGCCACTCTCCTTACATATTCATTCTTGTACTAGCATTTTTATGCTATTCCCATCAGTCTCAGGGACTGATGAGAAAGCAATATTTTCAGTACTTTTCGTACAGGCTACATCATCATGAGATATCCTTGTGGCTGAACTTCAGCATCTTCAGACACCAGCTTGGTGGTGAGAAAAATTAAACAACTAACTATTAAGTCATTTTACTTGTTGTTCTCAATTAGTGTGTTCGGGAGGAAGAAGCTGTTTTAAAAGACAATCTCCCATCTGCAGCAAAACAAGAGTAGCCGCAATGATTTGAAGCAGGCCTGTTAATTGCATCCATTGCCTTTTGCCACTGTCTGATGTCAGCAGTCAGGGTTTCTTAAAGCTACTGTATCAAGCACACATTTATTGATTATATTGAAACTTGGACTGTCTCTTACTCAACTCTGCTGGAGAAGTGAAGCCCAAGCCAGAAGTGACATTTGTTCATGTTGCAATCCTGCCATCATTGATTTTTTAAATATACAACTAATACAGGGAGGAGGACTGAATTAGGTCAAGACACTAAAGTAATTCATGGTGGGTAGTCTTATTGGTAGCTAAGGATTACAGATATGGCCAAGTCAGAGGTTGTAAAATACAGATGCAAATTGTGTAGACACATCTGCGCACATTTTATTTTTATTTATTTATTTGTTAAACTTGTCCCCACCCATCTCCCCCCAATGGGAGACTCTGGGCAGCTTACAACATATTAAAACAATAAATAAATATACAGTTAAAATTTAAAGA